AAAAAAAAAAAAAAAAAAAAAACACAGAAAGCCGATGGGATGTGAAAGTGAACTGAGAGGAGGAAGAGATATGGCTCCTAGTTCCTGGCTTGAGCTGGAAGGGGTGCCATGTACCAGCTGTGGGGCAAGGCCAGGCTGGGCAGATGGGGGAACCCAAGTGTGTCCCGAGTCCTCCCTGTGGACTTCTCAAGCCGGGGACATCCTGGACACCTGGTGGGGCATCAAGCCGGCGTCTGGTAACAGGCCAGCACCTCTGGGAGAAGTGTCCTAACCTGGGCTTGGGGCCCCTGTGGGCCATAACTCAGGGCCTCCCTGCTGCCCACCTCCTTGCTCCCGGGTTCCCTCTGGGCCTCTCTGCCTGCAGCCCTCTTGTGGATGTGACCAGGGAAGGGCTTGGGGATGAAGGAAAGGGATTTTTGATTTCTATCCTTTCTTTCCTCAGGGTTCCTTTTAGCCATCTCCCCACTTTTCCCATACTCTGAACCAAACCCCAGGTCTGGGCCAGGAACCCCCAGTGACCCTGCGTATCTCTGCAGGTGGGTGCACCCTGAGCCCTGGAGTCGGCTGCCTGTGTGGGCTGAAGGCCTGTGAGTGTGACAAGCGATCTGTGTACTGCTTCAGGGACAGCCTGCCCACCTACGAGAAGAACTTTAAGCAGGTCTTCTCCAACCGGCCCCGGTGCGGCAGGCGTAGACTCCAGTGCTAGGAAGTCGAGCCACAGGGTCATCATCTCCAACAGGCTCCGGTTCCTGCCCCAGGAGGGAAAACAAGATGCCTTCCTTGGGGCAACTCGCCTTCCAGCTCTCTGGCAAGAGTACTCCTGACCCAGCCTCTGAGGACTGAGGATCCAGAATGGAAAGACAGAACTTCTGCTCCGCCCAAAGGAGCCTCATTCTGCAGAGGGAGGGGGACTCAACTATACAGAGGGGCCTCCCGAAAGGGCATGGAGATGCGTGTTATGAAAAAAGCTTCATGCATGGATTTCAATACTCTTTGCACCAGAAAAATGTACACTTTAATTCCATTTTTCTCACCAACTCTTTGAAGTCCCCTCTCCTGTATCTAGCAGATAAGGGGTCCATTAGATAGTGCTGGCAGCGACGCGGCACGGGGGCAGGGTAGAGCTCCAGCCCCACCGAGAGCTCTCCCTTCATCTCCACCCCCAGTCAGGATGCAGGACGGGCCCACAGCCCAGACCCCCCTGGGCGCAAGGCAGAGCTGCCGAGAGACCCCAGCGCTGTCCCCAGAGCACACCAGGATCGGCTCCCACTCGTTCGAGTTCTGAGTTTCCCTCGGGCAGGAGGAACGCGATGCCGTGCTCATGTCCCAGGAGACAGCAGCACGAGGGCCCCACCCCTGGCACGCCGACGGCATGGCTGGAAAGATCTGGGAGGAACGCCGAGGGAGCCAGAGGTGCCAGCACTCCCACCCCAACTTAGAAGCCTCTGGTTACATCAGCCTTACATTCTAGTAAGTATTAAAGTGATGCCTGATTTGGGTGGATGCTGGTGTTCCTAAGGCCCAGGGGTGTGCACGTCACGAAAACGGCCGCAGTTCTTGCCTCCTGATCCTCGCCTCTCTCGACATGCAGGGTTCCCACCACTCGAAGCCCCGCTGCTGTGATTCCTCAGGGCGATAGAATGTGGTGGAAGTGTTGGCCCAGCAGTCGAGGCCTCAGGAGGTCTAGGACACTCCTGCTCCGTCTCAGGACACCTGCCTCCACAGGGTGGGGGGCCACGCTAGCCTGCTGGGTCAGAGTCCAGGCTCAGGTGTCTCCCCGAGATTTGGGCCTTGGAGAGCATGTGACAAAAATCGCCAAAACCTCGCTGAGCCCAGGCTAATAAGCTGCCACACAGAACTGTTAAATGGAGTTAAATAAAGACTGTGGCTTGAAGTGGCCGAGTGTGGGTGCGGTTTGTTATGTAAGCAGTAACGAACGCCACTGGTCTCCATCCACAGAGACTCCTGGTTCCCAGCACTGCGCCGGGCGTGGGGGCTGTGGAGACAAGAGGCCTTGGCCCCTACCCTCCTACAGGTGTGGAAGAGGAGTCAGGCCGTGCCCGCACCCACCAGCACACACTTCCCCAGCACCTGCTCTGTGCCAGGCACTGTGCTGGGCGGTAGGGACTTGGGGACTTAAGGATGAACAGAGTCAGGTCTGAACGTCCTGGGGAGAATGCCAAGGGCCATGGCACCCCTGGGAATTCAGACACTTAAACTGGGCTGAGTGATGTTGTCACTGATGTGAAGCCAGAAGGAGATGCCAGAGGGGACAGTCAGCAGGGGCTCCTGGTCCTGGCCCTGCCTGGCCTGGCTTGCATACTTGTGGGGCAGGTGGGCCGCCCCCTCCTGCCTGCACACATACGGAAGTTACGACTGCAGAAGGGAAGCCTGAGCTTCGTGAGCATCGGGACAGTACTCCGTCTGTGAGGATGTGGCTGGAGAAAGGCAGGTGTGGAACCACGCGGGCAGCCCCTGGCCGGCACCCTCCCTTATAGGGGGTCCTAACCACAGCAGAGGCCAGCTCTGGACAGTGATGGCTCTGGCTGACTGACCCAGTAGAGGAAGAGGGTCCAGGGCCAGGCTCCATGTGAGGGGTAGGGGTTCTGGTGCGGGATTCAGCCAGAATTCTTCCTCTCCCTGGGCCCCGGGCCCAGGCTGTAAGGCAGAGGGGTGGGCCTTTATGGTGTCCATGCCCTGGATGGCATTGATGCCCTCATTCTGAGAGGAGGCATGGAGGGCTGCCGTGGGCGTTCACTGGGAACCTGCTGTCCTCAAAGTGTACTGAGGCCCACTCTGCACGGGGGCCTGTGGCAAGGGCAGGGAAGCACAGGTGCACCAGGCCCCGTGGCTCTCAGATATGGGCAAACGGGTGGTCACCAGACAGGCTGGCGCTGGGGCAGCTCTTCCTGCAGGGGCAGGGAGGCTTCTCTGGGGCCACTGGGGAGCTGGCACCTCACCTGCAGCTGAGAGGTGAGGGTGGGAAGGCCGGCTGGAGGCGTGCGGAGCCTCGCAGGCAGCAGGAGTGGAGATCGCGCACCATCAACAACCACAGGCTCCGTCCGCAGCCTTTCCCTGCTCAGCTGAGGGCCCCTTCTCCGTCTCTGGCCCCTCCAGGACCCAAACCTGGGTGTCAGATTCTTCTCATATCCCACATCTCACATCCCACATCCAATCTGTTGGCACCACTTTCAAAATCCATCTAGCTTCTGTATTTATGAAATACTTCAGCCAAATGTTTACACCGAAAAAATAGAACGAGGGGGACAATCTAGAATCCGATTACCATTTTCACTGCTGCTATAGAGGGTCAGCGCCACCGCCGCCCGCTCCTAGTCCCCTCTTGACACCTCTACCTGGTCTCCCTCCAGCACCGGGCCCTCCCCAGCCCACCCTTAACCCACTTTGACAGTGCTGCCCATTTGGGGCCTTCGCTGGAGCCTCCCCTTCCTGATGGAGTGTCAGCTGGCACTCCGTTTTCCACCCTCCACGTCCCACCCTCTGCTTCCTTCTCTTCCTAGTGCTCTGCACCGTCTCCCCAAGAACATAAGCTCTTGAGGGCAAGGGTCGTGTCCCCTTTTAATCTCCAACCCATCTTGATGTATCTCGAGGTCAGGGAAGCCTTGTGGTCACTCGGAAAAGCCTGGCCTTGGTCCCGGCAACGGGGAGTCAGCCATGCTCTGAGCGACCCGCCCCTCCCCTGTCACCTCTGTGACCTTTGGCAATGCAGCCTGCTTGAGCCTAGTCTCCTTGCGAGCAAAATGGCCAGCAAGACCACAGCATGCGACATCATGCAGGGACTCGCTCATCTTAACCCAGGGCTCTGCGGTTGGAGCGATGCCCAGCCTCGAGGGCACAGGCCTGGAGCCTGGATGGATTTGACAGCAGCTCTCTCTACATGGTAATCGGCCATGCTTCTCCATGTCTGGCTGCAGCTACCAGGCGCCAGGGTGGTGGAGCAGCGGACGCTCTCTTCACTGAGGGCGGGTGTGGGGCTCAGCACCCCTCCTGGGAAGAAGCTGATACTCGCTCTGGGCTGCCTGTGCCAGTATGCGCTGAGGCCGCCGCGCTTCCCCAATCCTTCGGAAGTGTCTGTGAAGCTGCGAAAGGCCTGGCAGATGTGGGGAGTACAGCATATGGCCGTATGGGCGTGGCTGTGGGCCCAGAGGGGACGGCTTGCTGCAGTGTGGTGAGGACTGAGGTGACTGGGTTTCTGGGTCAGGGTGCAGGGGCTGGTGGCTCCGGGCTCCTGGCTCTGGGTGGCCAGCTGCTGCAGTAGCCTCCAGGTACAGAGCGCTCACCTCTGCCAGGCACGCAGGTTCCTGGACCCCATCCAGGCAGGTGTGACTGCGGCTCCATGCAGCCAGAGGGCTTGCTGAAGGCCGTGTGCGAACATGCTGCAGGGCAGGCTTGAGCCCAGCCCTGCCTCCCACACAGCCCCAGCCCTGGAGGAACGTGACAGCGTGGGGTAGCCCCGGATGGGAAAACTGCCTGGAGGGAGGCCAAGGTTCTGGCTCCAACTGGTGCTGGGGACAGGAAGGAAGCGGAGGGCAAAGCGAAGTGGAGCTGGGGAGGTGTGACCGAGGCCAGAGAGAAGGCCCAGGAGTCGGCCGCGCTTCCCTCAAGCTGCTTTTTCTTTCTGTGTCTCAGTTTCCTCATCATAATCAGAAACCAGGAATTGTGTCCACCTGTGCCCTCCCCGGGGTGCCTTCTCATCCGCAGTCTTGCTGGCCCTCAGAGGGAGCCCAGGGAGGTTCACGCACACTTCTCTGACGGGAACAAGGGCTGCAGAAAGCCAGGCCTGCAGGGGCAGCTAGAGCGCAGCGGCCCTGAACACCAGCCTTGTCATCTGCTTCCAGGCCTCTGCTTCCCATCGAATTCCTCAGAACGAGAGAGGGGGGCCCAAAGCTAACGCTAAGGCATGACCTCAGGGAACGTCCTTGGCTTCTCTGGGCCTCCGTCCCTCATCCTACAAACAAAGCTATGACCCTCATCCCCACTGTACAGGGTTAAAAGAGGAGGCAAGACACAGGAAGCTCTGAGCAGTGCCCGGCACCATTCAGTGCTCCCTAAACCCGCCCTTCCTCCTCCGGCCTGCCCTCCAGGATTCCAGACACCCACCAGCCCAGCCAGGATGTCCCAGCAGGGTTACCCTGGGCAGGACGTTTTTTTGTTTTGTTTTGTTTTGGTTTTTTGTTTTTAATTATGCACACCTGCCTCCAGATGCTGGGCGCCTCAGTGTTTCCTCCAGAACTCTGCTTGTCGTCACAGTTGGTGACATTGACTGCTTGTTCAACAGCCACAGCTGGGCACACTGACAGCCAGCACTGCTGTGCCAGCTCTGGGGAAGGGAACCACCTCTCTGCGTCCATGGTGAGACTAGGGTCAAGCAAAGTGCCAGGTGCCCGACTGTGGCTCTGGAGAAATAAATGCCCAGGGGCACCTCCTTCCAGCCTCCTTCCCCTCCCCTCCCCCTCCCCCTCCCCCTTCCCCCTGCAGGGCCCGTTTTCTCACTACACTGCAGCTATGCAACTGCCAGATTTTCTCCGGAGATCATGCAGGCTGGCCATTTCCACCAGCAACTCCTACTAACCTGCTGCCTTGGCCATCCCGACCCTGAGGGACTGTCACCAACACATAGCCAGGGGGCATGGCCACCATTCTGAGGTGCCTGTTCCCCATGCCAGGCCCTGGGCCAGGAGCGCCCTCACCTAGCTGGCCTCACCTGTACTCAGACCCTGTGATGTGCACTTCATTACGAACCTCCTTGTCCAGAAGCAGGAAAGCGAGACAGGCTGAGGTGACTTGACCCTGAAAGGCAGAGCCGGGTGCCACCTTGTCTGGGCTCTGCGCCCAGGGCTGCTCTGTGTGGCAGAACTAGGGTGAAGGGTCCCCCGATGGTTCTTGTGCTCTCCTGGCACTGTCAGCCTGGGTCAGTGGGGCAGGACCCAGCCACTTGGCTCCGGAGCCTGGGGGTGGGGGTGTGTAATCAAACCTGGTGGTGACCCACAATGTCCACTAGGTGTCGTCCAAGTTCTAGAAAAGAATTGGCTGCCACTCTCTAGAGGGCTCTAGGAAGGGGAAGAGGGCAGGGCCAGGCCCCCAGAGGACCAGGGAGCAGGAGTTGGTCCGAGCGAAGGTGGCAGCCCCCGGACCAGTGAAGAGCAGGGACAGCCCCCTCCTCAGCCTAGCATAGAAGACCCCAGCCACTTGGAGTTCTAAGGGCAGGAGAGACCCTTCGGGTGTAGGAGCAAGGAGCCCCATCTCAAACAATGTGAGGCTCCCACTCCACACTCCTCTCCTAGGGAGGCCCCAAGTGCCACCCCAGCTTCCTCCTGGATCCTTTTTGGGGCCTATTTGGGACTACCCCCACAGACCTGGGTGGGTTTCACCCTCTGCAATGTTTTAGTTCATGTCTGCCTCCCCATCCCAGGCTGGGCTCCTGGTCAGAGGTTTGAAGCCCAGCATCACGCCTGGGATGAAGGCGTCTGTAGGTACAGACCCCCAAATGTATGAGCCAATGATGGCCTTTCAGAACATTGAGTTGAGGGGCCAGCAGGTGGTGTGGTGGTTAGGGGACTGGACTCCCACATAGCCGACCATGGTTCGAGTCCTGGACCTGGTGACTTGAAAATTACACCAGGCACAAGTTCATATATGCCCCAGGTCCTGAGAGAATGGAGAAGGGATTGCAGCATGGCCCTGGGGGTGATTTCTCACTATCCTTCTCTCTGTCTCGTTTCAGCAAGAGCATGTGTCCTTTAGCAAAAGCCAACAAACAAACAAAAAACACAAAACCTGAGTTGAGGAGCCTCTTTTCTTGCAGGTACCTCATGTGAGAGCTGATCTACATGCGGGGGAAGCAGGGCTGCCCCTGAGGACAGGGAAGATTCCATCTGCTCAGCCTTTCCTGCCCTAGAACCTCCCCAGATGCCCCCAGGAAAACCCATAGCTTTGGGAAGCATCAGGGGTGCTGGTCATTCTCCACAAGGGAAAACTGATGCCTATACAGGGGAGGAGCCCGAGCTGGGGAGGCCAGGACTAGGACCCGGGACCCCGCTGCCCGCTGCTTCCTCATATGGCCTCTCTGTCGGGGCCTTCCTCACTAGTAATCAAAGGTGACCTCCCATCCTCCCTGCCACCACCCTGTTCCTCTGAGCCCCTCAGTGGCTGTCACCACAAGCCTGTGACCCTTCAGGCCAGAGGTGTAGCCCCAGGTCCCAGACGGTACAGCTGAGGCTCAGCACCTGCCAACAGCACAGCTCGGAGTGGGCCTGCGGGCACCCCACAACCCAGCCCTCGGAGTCATCGTGAAGAAGGTGCAGAGGGGCCGCTGGAAGTCAGACACTGAGGACTCAAGAGCCTAGCCCCGTCGTGTGTACCTGTGCGGCTTTGGGCAGATGCATGCCCTCTCTGGGCCTCAGCTACTCAGGAAAAGTGGGAAGAGCATGGCAGGAGTCGAGGCCTGAAAGGGACTTAGCCCAGTTGTCGCTATTGCTGTGCTCAGGCTAGGTGACCATGGCCTCTACACCCCCACCCAACCTTCGCCTCTCTCTGCTGGGACAGGAAAGGGATGGGGCAGGCCAGCTGCTGGGTGTTAGGGAAGTCACCCTCCCAGAGCCAGAGACCCGGGACAGTCCGTGCCCTCCCAGCACCTGTGCAAGGACGACCCAGCAATGACAGGTGAGCAGGGGCCTTTATTTGTCTGGGGTGGGGGGGGGGTGCCCGTGGAGATCCTCGAAAGTCTCAGTGAGGTGGAGGGCGGGAACCACCTCCCACGTGCCAGCAGGGTGGGCACCAAGGAGGGGCACAGCCAGGTACCTGTGCTCCCCTCGCAAAGCGCAAGGCTCCTGCAGGAGACTCTGGGCCCCCTACCAGCCCTGGCTCAAGGGGGGCTCCAGCTCAGAGATATAGCCGGCCAAGGAAGGGAAGGACATGGCCCAAGTGGCAGCTGGGCTCCTGAGAGGGCGGCGACTGGGCAGATTATGCCAAGGCACACAGGTGCCTCCATGGCTGTCACAGCACAGAAGTGAGCAGTGGAAGGGCCTCCTACATACACAGTGGCAGCTGAGTCCTCGGTCCCAGTGCCTGGCCTTCCGGGAGCTGCCGCCATGCCAGGCTGTGGCCCATCCTGCTTTATCTCCTTAGACAGCTCTCCTTGGGCTGTGGCCACCGCCTTGGCTCTCTCCCAGTGACGGTGGTCCCCAGGGTGCTGTCAGGGCAGGAGCTTCTGCTGTGGTTCTCCATGTGGGGCAGGCAGGTACATGTCACAGCGTGGCACCAGGTCCTCAGGGCTGGTACGGAATGAGGGCAGAGCCTGGCTACCTGGAGGCTGTGGGCTCGGAGGCTGAGGGCCAGCCAGGGAGGACAGAGGGGGTAGAGGACAGTGCTGACCAGGTGCAGAGCTGGTCGGGCTAAGCCTCACACTGCCTGCAACACCACGGCCCATAGGAGCCCGACCCACTGAGGTCCTGCACCCCAAGCTCCTGTCTCCTGTGCTGTGCCCCCTCCTCCTGCCAGTGCCGTCTCCCTCTGGACAGCCCCTGCCCTCTCTTCACTCCCTGGTCACCGGCCTGCTCTGTCCCTACTGCCTCCTGGTATCTTCCTCACACCTCCTGCCTTGACCCTTTCCCTCCCTCCTTGGCTTGTGGGTCCCAGTCCTTGGGGTCCTCCCAAGGAGAAGGGAACCAACGACTGGACACTGCTACTCCCAGCACAGGAGACAGTGTCTCTGTCCTCCCCAGCACTGGCCTGTGGGGTATCTGTCAGGGCCTGGGGGCTGGGTCAGGGTGCTCCTCAGAGCGGGCCGGGTGCAGCCCTCGGGTGTGCTGGTCGGCAGGCCGTGAAGGAGAGTGGGTGTTGGGCTGTTCAGGCTGTTGGTGTCCCGGAGCCTGCTCTGGTGCACACCCTGGGGCCTGGGCCTGGACTCATGTACCGACTCAGTGAAGAATGGGGTATCGCCTGCTGTGTGAACGGGGCTCTGGAGAGCTGCCAGCCCAAAGCACTGAGCACACGGAGTCATCCTGTGGGGTCAGACCAGGGCCCAGGGCCCAGGCCTTGTGGCCAGTACTGTCTGCCTGGACTTTGTCCTGTGACACACCAGACTGAGGACCCGTGCCAGCAGCTCAGGGCCTAGGTCTAAGGCTTTGGGGGAGCCAAGCTGGGGACAGCAACAGAGGCCCCCAACCCCTTCTCTCTCAGGCCTTTCACACACTCAAGAGAGACCAGGCCACATGCTTCCTGCCAAGTCCTGAAGGATAGGACACAGGACACGGCCACACCCAGTGCTGGGCTGAGTGGCCAGGCAGTCACTTTGGGGCCCAGGCCTCCCCCAGTCCTCAGGGGAGGCAGCAGGGCAGCCCTCAGGCTCCCATCTGCCCTTGCTTCCCCTGCTCCATCTGGCTGGTCCCTGACAGATGCCAGGCCTCACCCCCTCTTCTCTCTCAGACCTCACAGGGGCTAGAGTGGGGCAGGGGTGCCCAGGGAGCCCGGTGGGCAGGCCACCTCCTCAGGAGGAGGCTCGTAGATGCTGCAGTTGGGCTGGGGACCTTGGCAGTAGATGTTGAGGTAGCCGCGGAGCTCCTCCCTGTACACCTGGCTCTGGAGACACAGAGCCACGTCCTTGTCGCATGCACAGGTCTGCTTGTCGCACTCCGTCTTGTTGAGCTCGCCTGTGGGGAAGGGGTAGCAGAGGCAGTGGGTGGACGGGGCTGTGGCCCCACCAGGACCAGGGGAGGGAGCCGACTCTGAGAACCTCCGGGTCCTGGGAATGTGGTCTCGGCAGCGCCTGCACCCCCAGGGGCCCCACCCTGACTTGCAGGGCCAGCCGCCTGGACATAAAGCGCTCTCCAGGCTGCGACTCTGCTGCACGCGACAGTGGCATAACCACGGAGGTCAAGCGTGGTCATTGTATCGTTGGGGAAACTGAGGCCCAGAAAGGGGGCGGGCTTACCTAAGTCACCCAGAGCACGAAAGCCCGCCCTGCCCCCAGGTACTTTCTACTATCCCAGACCTCCTCCTTTCATCAGCAGAATTGGAGGACATGCCCGCGCGGGGAGTGGGTGGCTAGGGCTGAGCGAGCAGAGCCCTGTACAGCAGGAGCTCAGCCTAGCGAGGGCGTCCTCTGGGCTCTGGGGCTGTGGCTGCGGCTGTCATCAGCCGTCAGAAGTCATGCTTAGGGGCCGGGTGCACAGCTGTAAAGCATGAGGCTGGCCCTCACAGGAAAGTCCCGGGATTGTATCTGGAGACCCCTCTGGGTGTGCCCTGATCCGGGCTGCCTGAGTCCGGGAACTCTGGGCATCAAGACCCTGTCAGGGGTGCTGTCTCTCTCACTCAGGGAAGAAATAAGTAAGTAAACAAAAAATAAATAAGAGGGACCAGCAGTTAGCGTAATGGCTGTGTCGCTGGACTCGCATGTAGTCATCCACAGTTCGAGTCCCGGACCCAGTGACTTAAAACACGCCGGGCATGTGTGCATGCGTACCCAAGATCCCGAGAGGAGAAGGGAGAAGAAGAGATTGCGGTGTGGCCATCCTCTCTTTCTCTGAGGGGTGATTTCTCTCTTTCTGTCTCTCTTTGTCTGTCTGGTGAGCGCATGCACCCTGTAGCAAAAACCTCTCAAAAAAAAAAAAAA